TAGTTGTTATTGGGTTTGTGGTGCACTTGCACAGTTCTACACTTGTCAATGTTGAACAGGAGTAAATGATCCTTTGGCTATTCAAACTCAAGGTCTATGTCTGGTTCTTGACCCTCTAGATTTCCGATCGATCGCCAATTAGGAGTGTTCTCGACGAGAAGCAAGAAATTCGAATCGACGACACATGCGAGACCGTCAACGAAGAGCAAGCATAAGCGTGGCCCCAACACTACAGTGTTCACAGGCTGGTAACACCAAATGTCCAGCATGCTTTTAACTGTTGCGTCGTGTTTTCTTCTCGTTACTGCCCTACTACCGACCGTGGAAGTTAGTTTAGGGAAACAACCGAATGGACTAACTTGTAGGTGGATCCAAAATATAAACACTGAATGTAAAATTATGACAGAATTCAAACACTCTCGTCAGATGCTAGGACTGCGAGGCCGATAGTACCACCAGTTTGTGCGAATAATTACCATTTTGGTGTATCTGCCGAGATGGGAACGACAATGGGCACTGTTAGTCAACCCCAAACACATAGGCACTTGGGATTATCACTTGTGACAGTGTTCGGAGAGTTGATGGGAATCAGCCGCGCAGGACAAGACAATGATTCGCAGGCACTCGATGAGTACCGAATTGGCACACAAATAGTCATACTGATGGAGTAGTGCACACAGAAAGTGAACAGGACGTTTACTAAGCTAGAACGCGATTCTTTACTGAAGCACTCTTGTCCGACAGCATCATGATACCCTGGAATAGTCATGCTGTGTAGAAAAAACGCTTTTAGAATTGAATTGCACAATCTTGTACGCTACTTCCTCGGATATGCAACATGATTGTTCCATAGACTGTAAGTTAACAACTGATGAGAATGCCAGAAGTCTCATGATTACTACATGACATTGAGGCCATGAACAATTAGCGTAGGTGTCCTGCGAACTTCGATGCCGTTTGCAACCGGAAGTGATAAATTGTAAGTGGAAAGTGCGGTCAGAACTGCCGTACGCTACACTGTGTACAAATTACGGTAACACAGGACGATTCGTGTCGTAAAACGAGCACAAATAATTCAGCATACCTCAGTTAAAAAGAGGAGATGTAACACATTGCCAGCTGGCGCTTGTTGCCGACGCCTAAGAAAACGTATGCGCTCCAATGCAACAAAAGTGAATTTACAGGTTCACGTAGGCCTAACATGCTCAATCATGAATTCTGTTTATGAACTAGTGTCAATAACACTCTAATTAGAGATGATGCGTAACTAACCACAAGTGATTACTACAAGCATCAGTTGATAAAGCAACATAAAATACAAAGGAACAGGGTGGGAAACGAAGCAGCGCGATCTGGTGACTTAAGACAACTATCGATGATACAAATATTAGTACCCAAACGGATGAGCACTAAGAAAGGAGGACTAGTGATTACAGGAAGCGAATTCCGGTTGGCCCTTACGGTCGATTTGTGGACCCTGCATTGCTATGAACGAGAGCTACCTAGATTTGCAGCACCACCGTTCGGATAAAGAAACGGTATATCAAACGTATAAAAGCGTCAAAGCTGCCAGCATGTCTCGAATTTACGTGCAAACAAGGGACCGTATTTCGAACCCAATTTGTGGGGCTCCACCTCCCGAGTGGCATTTTTAAGGTATTCCTTCTACCTTATAGTTTTCGCGAGAAACTTCAATTTCAATCTTCGTGCCGAAATACTATTTAAGATGCTCCGACATGGCTGAATGAAATAAAACGTCACTATTATCACCCCATCCGTTAGGCACGAGTTTGAGTACACTTGGTTCCCTACATTAGCAGACAGTCTGGAATGTATTCCGGTTAACAAATATTTGGAATTATAATCCATCGTGTCGCAGGTAAACAAATGAAAACGGGTGAGCAACCCGGATATTCCTTACAACGATTGTTGATCATATTAACTTTAATCCGTTTTGCATCAGGCTATTTCATTCCCACAACACTGCTTATAATATGCCGTTTTCCTATAGCATCATCGATGCGCGTCTTATTGCGTCCGCAAAAGCAGTCCGAATTTGCACCAACTTGCGGGACCTGTTAAGCCTATGCTTTTTCACAGATGTAAATCATTATTCCGATAAGGTCTGTGTCACCGCACTCGTAAGTAGCCGACGCGAAAGACCAATTCCCCTGCTGTAACCAAGTGTGGGTTAAATCTGTACCCGGGAAGTTCATGATTATGTGATGTATGTTGACAAGGTGCCTACCTGTGTATTACCCACTACCTCGTCCACACTGGCTTTAGAAGACAGTTGGTCCTTAGTGGAGCGCACAGGGTGTATGGTCCTTGTGGCCGTGTTATGCTCTAAGAGTGGTTCTATGCATTCAGTGTGGATTGGACCAATGTCCAGCCACCGTCTTGTGTGCGCTTGAATCCCAAATGCAGCGTGCTTGTGTTTGCCTGTGAGAGTGTGGGCCGGCTCCGTCGATCAAACTTGGCTCCCATGCACATGCCTCCCGGTCTTATTCCTTCGGGTTTACTCTGGATATGGGGTGTGTGGATGGAGCTGTGGGTGGTGCAGCGCAAACCGCCCATGGTCTGTCTGTATGCGCAGGCGTCCTGTGGCTGGTCACAGTGACAGGCAAATCCGAAACCGGATACCGCCAACCATGTGACGTATATCGTAAAAATAGGCGCACACTTTCGATCGGATATTAATTAGGATACAAGTATTACGCATTGCATAGGCGTCAGTGACCCGCTAGTACCTCATCCTTTCCTTCTAGACAATAGTGGACGGCATCAAATGCAGCAGCGCTTTAATTCCTTAGTCATCCCCATCTAAGAGCTCTCACTGTCCCACGAGAACTGCGGTCGTCCGATGACTGAATGGATGAGGTGTCTACCTTGTAAACCAAAGGTCACTGGTACGAATCCGCGTACACGATCTCGCCGGATCCTTAGCCGGCGCACGATTGGTGGAAGTCATGTTACTGGGATGCATTGCTGCGATGCACTGTTGTGGTAGAAGTTCACCTACTTCATATGGTTCATTATTATGTCATTCTGAAACTTGTTGTCCAAAGATAAACAAGACTTGCTCCATCGCCTCCGCGTTGAAGTGTTCGCCTCCGTTGCGACTCCCTCCAACCTACTTATAGATATACAGGCGTGTATTAGCAGTTTATGATATAATGCAGTCCAACTTTACTGACCTTAGTGCACTATTCATTGATCACTCACAAAGCAAGATAATAGTTTGGTATCCGTGTGGAAAAAGCAGGAAAACAATCATCTGTTATGCATAAATGGTGAAAAGGTAACAAAACGGTGGCAAATAGAGAAGAAATCCAATACACATCTACTTCCCTAAACAGACACTAAGTTACCGAAGTCCTTTTGGGTGACGACACTTTAGGTCAGTGAGAAATTGTGTTCATCTCAGGTTGGGTGATAGAGAAAAAATCCAGGAGGCAACCACTAGTAGAGGATATTCAGGGTATGTATTTCCCATTAAAATTAGCGATCGAGTCTTTCAGAAATATTGCTAGTTTATGAAGGGCGAAGAAAACAAAATGATGCGTATGGAATTGCGCAAAACACCACACTTCATCTGTTTGTATGTAGTTCAACCTATTCGTACTGTCAACATGCAGTGTCCTCCCGGGTTACGGTTTAAGAAATGACAACTTGCAGGCAAGCGCTATTGTTCGCAGGTCCCCAGACTGGACAGGCAGTTCTTGCGGTCATAAAAGAAGATAACTTATGCTGATCATTACTCTTAATGGGCTCTCGGAATGCACGCTGTATGTTTGGAGTGCCACGTTCAATCTCTATGGGAGCTCGGATCACTTTGAAGTAAACCTCCGTCATTCCGATCCTTGGGACTGCATCCGAAGTAGTGACTTTCCGGTGTTGATTTAGTCTTGCTCTTGCCACAGTGACAACCTACGACCGGTCTGGTTTTGACTACTATGCCACTGCGATCAGATAGCAACACTTGACACAGCGGTAAGTAATTCAAGGTTGGATTTGAAACAGGCGTCATGTGATGGGATTGCGATTCGCAGCCCAAACGAGGACGAAACCGTCGGTCGTGGGATGTCAGTGTTTAGAGGAGCCACACTGAATCACCTCCATCTCGGATATGGTCTACTTCAAATTGAACCGAGGTCTCAATAGAGATTGCCTGTAGCAATCCAACTACACGGCAGGTACTCGAGAGCCAACTTTGAGATTCTGGTCTTCTTACCTCTCAATCCCGATATTTACGACCAGTTTCCTTCTTCACATGCACTCCTCTACGCCGTTGTCTGGCATATATAACGTTCCCGGCTAAAGTACATGTTCTACTGGTGAAATAACAGTCATCATGGCCATGGCTACCGATCGGCTTTCACTAACACATGTTTGTCGTGCTGAAGTGGTAGGAGATCTTCGCAACCCGGGGTGGGTTAGCCGCTGTATCAAGCCGAAGGCGCAACGACTTCACTAGTATAGTTGAAATCGAGAGATCAGCCCATCACGCAAGATATTGGGATTTACGATACGAGGCTCAGTGATCTAAAGGCCTGGCATTTCTTAGACATTGTAAGCTCATAACTGAACCGAGCCAGTGCTTAAATTAGACCATCAAGCAAGAATCACATATCAATGGCTCTAGTGCAAATAGCGTCCATTCGAGTTGCACACACTTGTGCATTCAAAACAGCACTTTGACATAGTTGAATATGCGAATAGTCCCTCATCTTAATTCCAGTTGATGAGCACGATAACTACGATAACTGCTACAGACGGCTTGCAGCCGGTGCTCGGTGCACGTTGATAGTCTGGTCGCATGCACGGCAGAAAAGTGCCAAGAAATAGTAAAGCAAAATGTTCACCAAACGGTCCATATCAAGTGTCTTCATTTCTTTGTTTGCTGTGATCTTTCACACTCATTTCATGAGCATACTGTCACTGGTGGAGAAAAAATCGACAAACCTACTCACTGTTAGCAGCACCAGTCAACGGCTTACCTGCTGTGGGACGGCGAGACGAGCGGACAGCGCACGTCTACTGCCGAGGTCAACGATGACGCGCTAGTGCTACTTAGGCGATCGTTACGATACGCAGTGCTGATTGGACAGTCGCTGCTATTGGCTAGCGCGACCGTGTCCATGCCACAGAGAACGGTGGGTCAAAGGCAGCAATGCCGTGACAACGGCGGGTGGACCAACAACACTGTGACGTAGTTTTGGGTCCTTTAAAACGTGCATGCGCTCAATAAAGACCATGAGCGGGGGTTCATAAGTTTTGAATTCAAGCAGTTAGGTCCATCGGAAACATAATTTCTTGTCATCTTACGATATGTTGAGTACACAAGGAATTATGTTAGAACACGCCTTGATTAAACAAGAAAGTCATCACGAAATGTATCCGGTGGGTTGAATGTTCACAGTTCGGCTTTCGGATGGTCCGGCACTTTTGATTCGTATGCGCAACGCTTATGGTAGTCTTCATGTCAAATACGCAACTCAGGCATGGTAGCTGGCGCAAACACCCGCTGGTTGCACTCTAACCCTCACAATAAATGGCAAGAAGGATGCCAAGTGTCTGTTCCATCTACATTGCCAGATTAAACTAAATCTTCATGAGTCCTAAGTGGAAGGTCTGGTAGTCCGCGGGGTGATCTTATCCTAAGCTAACAAATCTGGGAAAATCCCAGTCACGTTTTCCACAATCTCCTGAAACTAAGACGCAACAGCAATCGAAAGGACCACCAGCCGCTTTATGTAGCCGTGATTATAGGCGTCAGAGTTATTATTACTTCGGAAGTTGTCAGCTATGGAGTGCTTTCCCGGCTACTGTTATTGCTGCGCCCATATCTGTGTTTACAAAACGGCGCGGTGATACACCACGCCATTTGCACCAGAGAGTATGACCAGAGCTCATCGGGTGACAACGTGGAGCAAGCAAGCAATGTGCACACCACTCCCATGAAACTGAGTTTGGCAAAGTTGGATTTAGGGAGAAATTCATCACATCTAGACCCACTCAGACAGCCGTCACATCCCCGGAAAAACACTGTACGCGCTTTTCATCCTTTCGGGAATCGTCAGCCTTTCATTCCATCGGATCCTGGTAGGCCTCGAACCCGCAACTCGAATGTTGCCAGTCCGTGGTTGAGACCACTGAGCTATGAGGGAAGGTAACAGCCATTGTGAATTAGTTACTAGTTGTGATATAGCGCCGCTCACTATCCACTGACTTACACGTTACTGCTTTGCAGAGGACAGGTTAGCCCCCTCACAAAGCGACTAGCTTACCAAACTTAAGCCGCCAATTAACTTATGGCATTATAAGCAGTTTGGTCTGCGTACTGGTTACAGCGAAGTAGTAGGGAGGTTAAATGGTATAGGGATTTGTGTTGATGCATATATTGCGGTTAGTTCCACAGAGAACCTATCTGTGTTGATAATATATTTGTTTGCAACTAACTAACTCACCCGGATCATTCTACGTTGGCTGCCATGCATTAGCTTTAAACCTATATTATATGTGTGTACCCCTGTTCCAGTGCATTTGCTTAGCAATGACGATATATCAGTGACTCAAGTTAATTCAAACACATCGGTAGTGTACGTTAACAAATCACTCACCTTTACAGTGTTTGCAGAAAAGCAGATGGATTTAGTCACCAGTTCTAAATCCAACCGATCTGGTGACATCGTGTCGGAAAGCACATTTGTGTATCGATTGTCCCGGCTTCTGGCCATCCGAAAAGGTAACTGCGTTTATCATAAAGAGATGACCTGCCGGCAAGCGGCTACATTAACGATCAACTCACATGTATCCCCTGAACCTGTGTGCGCTGACGCGGTCAGATGCTCCTTAACCGACCCGGTTATTTAGATCCAGGAAGCATGGTTTAATAGTTCAATAGTGTATGATGGGATAAAATGCATAAGTACAAGACCCACAGGATGAATCCGCATAAGATGTGCCAACGTGGAAAGTGAAGTATTAGTGGTTAAACCATTGCACTTTATCAAACTGCTTGTAGCGTTTATCACTAAGTCTAAGAGACTTTCGAATGTCGTTATGTCTGGTGCGTTCACCACATATTTTGGTAATGCATTCCAGGTAGAACAGAATCGTAGTGAGCAAAAATACTTTCTAAAATTCAGACGGGAGTGTTACTTCAGTACTTTCAGGTGGTTGCCTCAGTTTTGTTTCTAAGTGGACAGGGTTAACAGTAATGTAGATGGGTGCTCTTTTTCAGTTAGTATCCGGTATGTGAGAGTAAGATCTCCGCGAAGCCGTCGGTATTTTGAGGAGAACACACAGAGTAGACGAAGACGCATTTCGTAACTTATACCGGATAGTCCACGCGTTGCGTTAGTGGCTCTTCCTTGGGGTGGTTCCAGTAGGCGAATGTCTCCTTTTAACCATAGACACAAGGCCTGAATTGCATATTCAAGGTTAGGACAAATATAGGAGTTAATCAGCATTGAGACTAGCCATCGATCAAAAGTGCCGAGAGCTTACCTTAGAAATCGCAAGTTCAAGTTCGCCACATCTGCCACTTCCGAACATTGGAGCGAATTATCAAACGTTCTTGCAAAACGATTCCTAATTCCCGTTCACCAGTCAAGTGTTGCAGGACGTGATGCTCCAGAAGATATCTCTCGACGAAGCTGCTGCGCACCGTCAGCAGGTGGCACTTTGCAGAGTTCAGTGGGAGCTGATTCCTTTCTGCCCATTCGTTAATTAGAGTCAAATCTTCCTGGAGACAGACACGATCGGATGCTGAACGTATTGCTCTACATATTTTAGCATCGTTTGCAAATATTTGCATCGGGGATAGAATGTCTGCTGGAAGCTCATTAATGTAGACTACAAACAATAGCGGGCCGAGGACGGATCCTTGTGGTACATCACAGGAGACGCACAGGCTTTCGAAGTGAGTGTCGGCTACTCTTACTTTGAATGCTCTGTCGTGTGAGTAGCCTTGTAACCAGGTGAGCAGGGAACCGTTGATACCGTAGGCAGCAAGCTTTTGGAGGAGAAAGAAGTGATTGACCCTGTCAAATGCTTTAGAAAAATCCAGGTATATCACGTCCATGGGCACTCCTTCATCAGCCGCCCTGGTCCATAAGTCCCGAGTAATCAGAAAATTGGTGAGACAAGACCTTCTTCGTGTGAAACCATGTTGGGAATTAGAAAGTATTTGTTGACTTTCAAAGTATCGCTTCAGTCAATCTGTGATTACCAGTTCCATCACTTTGATAAAACAGGAAGGAGTGTAATAGGTCGGTAGTTGGCAGGATCCGATCGCTTGTCTCCTTTGTATATTGGAGTGATAATTCCATTTTTATACTCAGATGGGGTGTACGGGAGTTACGCATACCTTGGAAAAGGGTTGCAAGTGGTGCTGCTATGGTGAGAGAAAGAGTTTACAGTACTTTTGGGTAAATCCTTTCGATTCAAGAGGCACTGTATCCCGGAAAGACTGTAATTTGCATGCAACAGCTGCTGGAGTAAAGTTGACGTTGGACAAGTCAACGACATTTGTTGGGACGTGATAGGGCGAAGGTGCCACGGTATTTGAAGCTACCGAGCCAAACTGCAGGACTAGAGCGTTGCCTGCATCCACAGCAGTAGTTGTTAGGCCACTGGCAGTATTGAGTGGTGATAGTCCGGGCTTAAGGTTTCTTTTGCCATTCACAAATCTGTATAGTAGTTTGATGTGAGTCATAAATTTAAGCACCACGGTCTCCTGCCATTCGTACTTATCGATTCTAATGAGCGATTTGCAGTGGATCCTGATTGCTTTGTAATTCTACCATGTGGTATCACATGGGCTTTGAGAAGGTTGTCCCCAGATCCCATCTCTTCTCTGATCCATTTATGTATTCTGTTTCTGATCCACGTATTGGTCCGACGCCATGCTCGTTATGGTGCAGCTTTCGATGCTGATTGTATGACCCAGTTAATTTTAACTTTCAGTTCATTCCGTGCGTCATTCGCTGAACTGTGCGTCTGTAGGTCCCAGTCAGCTGTAGCTGCCAAGTTGGGCAGCTTAAAATAGTCGGTAATAATTCCTTGTCACTCATCCTTTATCATCCATACTGGCATAACACACATAACCAAATGTTAAGACTGTATGGTTGCTACGGTCCAGTGAAAGATAGTATGCTACTTATCCAACCGTCAACTCTTCATAAGTCCGGGAGTGATGGTTAGTTTGAACCGCGGTGTCTAGTTGGTCGATGCACAAGGTTATACAAAACAGCCATATCCATGAATTCGAGGAGTTTCGATTTAAATGAGGACCCATTAGGGGACATTGACGAAATTGAAGGGACATTAAAATCACCCGGTATAAGATAGTGAGAATACTTTTGTGAAACAGCATAGCGGAGGGCGTTTAACAGAATGTTCTCACTGTCTGCTGATGGGTTCGGAGGCCTATAGAGAACTGCTAAGAGGCTAGCATCACTCGTCTTCTGTGAGCCAACATCTCGAGTTGCTAGGTACGGTCGACAAAATAGAGCTTCGGGAATAACAAGAGAATATTCGGCAAGGACCTCACATTTCAAGTAATTTCAATATTGGAGAGCAACACCGTCAGCACGAGATAGACGATCATTTCGAACGCTTGACATCTCACTGAGTTCAATCAGTGGATCAACTATATCGTTTGAAAACCAAGTTTCGGTAAGTGCTATGAGGTCTCAAGTTGTTGTTTCATGTTGATGGCGCAGTTCTTGGAGCTTAGGATACAACCCCTGAGTGTTGGTGTAGCAGCATTGTATTTGTTGACGAATCAGGAGCTCGGTTCGCTGTGAGTGACCGGCACAAATAGTGTTGGCTTGACAAGATCATCACGGCCTCGGGATGCATCTGTATTTATGAATATATACCAGTAGTATTTGCGAATGTGGTATTTTACTCCATAAGTCATGTGACGAAATGCTGTGGTGTGATATTTATGAGTTGTCTAAAAGCAGACAAAGCGTGGATCGCTGAGTGAGAAGAGCAGCACAAATCAATCATCACCGGTACATTGTGGGAGAAGTCATACAGCGGTAGGAGCAGTCGGAACAGCTGAATGAATGCAGTAAGCAAATGGGCCGGACAGTTCTATGTTCAAACTAATTTGCCATGATGACATGT